TTCTTAAATTATAATATTCTGTGTAAATCATTTGATGGCTCATTCTGAACAAAGAATATTCATGAAAATGAGGAAGGAGGATTTCTGTGAGTGAGGCCAGCCTGGGCTACACAACGAGACCCTGTCTCAAAAAAACAAACAAAAACACCAAACCAGTATCAAGGCCCCTAACACGGTGGGCAGGCCACTATCAGGAAAGTACGAGCCTCTGAGAGTGGAGCTAACAGAATCAACAACAGATCAACTGCACAATAATCCATGCTCGGGGCAGGCTGTGTCACTGATACGGATGAGGTTAGGTCCCAGGAATCCATCTGGGTGATTTTAATGCTAAAAGGATTGCAGATTGTATCTGAGGGAGTTGGAGCCTAAGATAAAACTCTGAACCTGGGAACCACTCCCCCAGCTAAATGGTATTTCAAAATTGTGGGTCAGTGGTATTTTCATACATATTTTAATCTCCAGCCCTCAAAAAAGTGGGAGGTCTAACCTAAAAAGTGAGTTTGTGCTTATATTATTTGATCAATTATGCATGCCTATATCTTGTAATCTGAGCAACTACTTTGAAGATAACAATACCCAATATATTAACCATTGTTAATCTCCTATTATCCTGTTTTGAAATTCTGTGGGTTTTTTTTTCTTTTTAAAAGAAAAAAAAATTGTGGAGGCGCAAGCCTGTAATCCTAGCCCTTGGGGAGGCTGAGGCAGGAGGATTGTTATGAGTTCGAGGCCAGCCTGGGTTTCAAAGTGAGCTCAAGGACAGCCTGAACTGCACAATGAGACCCTATCTCAAAAAGACTAAATAAATAAATAAGGAGATTTCCAGTTTCTCTCAAAAAATGACCGTATCTGATCATCCTGAACCCACCATCCCCGATGGCACCAATCCATTAAAGCTGGGCAGCTGCTCTGCCTTCAGGAAGTGTGCAGATCCAAGACTGTCACAGGCCATCACTCTACTGTCTCCCAGACATGGAGGCTGAGGGTCACTTGTCAGTTATGACAACACTTTACCATTGGGTTCTCACATAGGGCCTGCCTTCCCCATCTATGTGACCTCATAGCCGTGATGGACACATGAGCAAGGCCTTGGCCACTGTCTACACCCTGATACAATCTCAGGGAAATAGAAAGTTGTGTCAGTTGGCTTTTTGTTGTTGTAATAAAATACCTAAAGAAATCAAAAGAGGAAAAAATTTATTTTAGCTCACTGTTTGAGAGGCTTAGTCCATGGTTAACTCCATTGGTTTTAGGCCTGTGGTAAAGCAGAAACATCATGGTGGAAGGGCATGTCCCCTCATGATAGGAAAGAGGGCGAGAGAAAGACCACACACAGGAAGCGGCTGGGAACAAGATGTAGCTTTCAAAGGAGATTACGCCCACAGTGATTTACTTTTTCCAACTAAGACCCACCTCCCAACTGCCCATTCAGCTAATGAACTCATCAATCCTTAATCCATTGATGATGGACTAATCAGCCCTCGTGATCCAGTTGCCTCTCTAGGTCCAATTCTGGATACTGCAGCATAGGGATCACACTCTCAATGCATGAGTCTTTGGGGGACACTTCATTTAAACCATAATAGAAGTTTCTTTTATTAAGCATAATATACCAGGCACATATTATCTTCTTTAATTCTTTTTTTTGTTTTTTTTTTTTGGTTTTTCTCCGGTACCAGGAACCGAACTCACGACCTTGTGCTTGCCAGGCAGGCACTTTGCCGCTGAGCTAAATCCCCAGCCCCCTATCTTCTTTAATTCTAATTGGCTTCCCCAGCTTGACTCAGTTTGATCTGGTATTCACATGATACCTGTGGTGATCTTTCCAAAACACAACTTGGGTCATTTCTCTGACCTCTTAAAATTCTGCAGTGATTGATTCTTCTTACCATTAAGATAATCTAATTCTCGCTTTTTAATTTTTTCCTTTTTGGAGTTTGTTTCTTACACAATTGCTTTATTGACTAATAACTCAGATACCATAAGAGTCATTCTTTTTAAAGTACTCAATCGTTTTTATTTTTTATTTTTATTTATTTATTTTTTGATACCAGGAATTGAACTTGGGACCTCGCGCTTGCCAGGTAGGCGCTTGTGCCACTGAGCTATATCCCTGGCCCAGTGGTTTTTAATATATTAACAGGGTTGTACAGCCATCATTATAATCTGCTATAACATCATCATCACTCCAAAAAGAAACCATATATTCATTAGTCGTCATTCTCCCTCCTCCTTTTTCCCAGCAGTGGTCTCTAATCTACTATCTGTTTCTATGGCTCTGTGTATTTTGAACATTTTATATAAATCATTATGTAATATGTAGACTTTGTGACCAGTTTCTCTCATGCAGCATAGTGTTTTTAAAGTTCATGCATTGCTGCATATATCTGCACTTCATTACTCTTTATTGCTAAGTAATGTTTCATGATTACCTCTCTTTCCCACCCATCACCAGGTGGTCCTGTGAATGGTCTCCATGATTGGGTTATTATTACTGTTGCTATGAACATTCGCCCATATGTCTTTTATGCAAGTGTGTTTTCATGTTCTTCAGTAGGAATCTAGGAGTGTAGTTGCTTGATTGTATGGGTTTTGAGGAACTGGTAAACATTTTTCCAAGGTGGTTGTACCATTCTACAACCCACTGGCAATATCTTGGAGTTCCAGTTTCTCTATATCCTCACCAGCACTTATTTTCTTTTTTAAAAAAAAGTTAGGTCATTCTGATGAGTGTGAAGTGATTGTTTCATCATGGTTTGACTTGTATATATCTAATGACATGATAAAAGCACAAGTTTTACGTGTTTATTGGCTATGTGTATATCTTCTTTGGAGAAACATTCATTCAGATCCTTACCCCGTTTGAAAATTGGGTTATCTTTTTATTATTGAGTTGAGAGTTGTTGTATATTCTGGATACCAGTCTCTTAGCAGATATATGATTTGGGTAAATTTTCATCTATTCTGTCAGTTGTCTTTTCAGTTTCTTAGATGTCCCGTGAAGCACTATTTTTTTTTAATTTGATGAAGTTCAATTCTATTATTTCTTTGAGTTGCTTGTGTTTTGTTTTTTTTTGGTTTTTCTCCGGTACACGGGAACCGAACTCACGACCTTGCGCTTGCCAGGCAGGCGCTTTTGCTGCTGAGCTAAATCCCCAGCCCCGAGTTACTTGTGTTTTGATGTCATATTTAAGAAACCATTGCCTAATCCATAGTCACAATTTACCCTATGTTTTCTAGGAGTTTGATAGCTTTAGCTCTTTATATTTAGTTCTGTGCTCTATTTGTGTTAATTTTCATATGATGTATAGATGGGAACCAACTTCATCTTTTGTATGTGGATATCCAGTTTTTCTGACACCCTTTGAGAAAAGACTTTTTTTTTCTTTGAACTTTTTTGAAACAGGGTCTCACTGTGTAGTCCAGGCTGGCCCTAAACTTGTGGCTATCCTTCTGTCTCAGCCTCCTGAATGCTGGTATTGCAGGAGTTCACCACCACCCTGGCTTTTTTTTTTTTTTTTCCCCAGTGCTGGGCATTGAACACAGGACTATTTTGCTGAGCTTCATCCTTCAGCTCTTTAAAAAAAGAAACTTTTTAAAAAAATTTTAAGACAGCTCTTTTAAGTCATCAAGTTGCCCAGGCTGGGCTCGAACTTGCGATCCTCCTGCCCCAGCCTCCCAGGGTGTTGGGGTTAGAGGCATGAGCCCAGCTTCTATGACCCTTCTTAAGTGCTTCTTTCTTAGCTCTGCAGCTTCATCTTCTACCTCATCCTCACCTCACCCAGACCCCTAAATGACTGCTTCTTCTCACCCTGGCCTACATCTCTACGTGCTGTTCTTTCCTACTGGAAAGTCTCCTTTCCCCTCTTGCCACATCTCCTGGCTGTCTCCTCCAAAATGACCTGGCATTAGTCTTGGATGTCACATCTTCCAAAAAGTCTTCCCTAAGTCCCCAGAACTGTTTTAGGGACAATAGCTGTGTGCTCCCAAAGACCCTGTCCTCAACACCGGCAAGGTGCTTCACACATCTGCTTATATTCCCTGTGCTAAACACACAAACACAGTCACTTCACAGATTGTGCTGTTTGTACCTGGAACATGTTGGGCCCTCAGTAAGTACCATATTAATGGATGAATTCAGGAAGGCAAGGAAGAAGACAGTTTTGAAAGGAAAGCATTAGTATTTTGTATTGCTACACAGAACTAAGAAGAATGAAATTTGAAAAATGCCACTGGATTTTGACTATTTGGGCATTACAAGCAGGGAAGGGTTTCAGTAGCATTGTGAAGGAGTAGGCAAGCCGGAGGGAGACTTACAGATTGAAGCACTGATAAAAGGGAAGCTTTAGTTATATACTATTGCCCAAGTTTGTTGCTGAAGAAAGGAGGGAACTAGAGCAGCACTGTGAAGCTGTTTAAAAGGGTACAGTTTAAAGATTTAACTTTATTGCTTTGGGTTCTTCTGTTCCTTTCCTGAACTTCAGAGTTCAATTCCTAGTGGGAATCCTTTCCTTGGCCTCTTACAATTGCATTTCTATTTCTTTTTCGTTTTTTTTTGCGGGGGGGTGGGTTCCGGTACCGGGAACCGAACTCACGACCTTGCGCTTGCGAGGCAGGCGCTGTACCGCTGAGCTAAATCCCCAGCCCCCATACAATTGCATTTCTAAAGACTCCCCATGATTTCCTCACTCATCCTCCTCTTACCACAGTAAACCTCACCCCTACCTCTGTGTGTGAACACCCAAACGCCTGCGCACACAGTACGCTGTGCACTGTTTGGGATCTATCTGGCTGATTCAAGTATCCTAAAAATCTAGATTCTTGAGAGTAACCAAGGCCTTTCCCCAAAGGTAGCGTAGTAGAGTTGCTTGTTTAGGTGGAAAAAGGAAGGAATGAGAATCCTAACACCTTGATGGCACCAAAAGAATGAGTCTTCTCTCTCTCTCATTCCCTTGTACCTCTCCTAAGTCAGTCATCAACACTAGAATGAAACAGCTTCCAGATTTTATTTTTTGTACTCTTACTGATTTCGCCATCAACTCTCATCTGCTTTCTTCTCCATCTGGGGCATTTTCCTCCCAGAGGTAGATATGTCTGATCATGAGACCACCAGCTTGATTGGCTTTCACCACCAGCCTCACACAGCTCACGGGGTACTCCATGCTTTCCTGCGGTAGCTCCTGGTCCATCTGCCCTTGCATGAGCCAGCCCAGCAGCTCAAAGCTGGTACAGTCCTGGGGCATCCCCTGGGGATCATACCCTAGCTCCACCTGCCCCTTCCTTAGGGCGTACTTTCCCTCCACGAGGGAGCCCGTCATCACCTGCACTCTGCTCAGCCTCGTTGGGTTGTTCAAAAGCACTGTCAAGTGGTTCCCTATGCGTGTATTGTTTGTCCAAAAGAACGACTCGTCCAGAGTGTAGGCCTCCCAGGGGAAGTGAGCGTCAGAAACAATCATATCCGTGAAGACAGATGCAGGGAGGTTGCTAGGACCATATGGGTTCATTTTCTGAACTACTGTGTCCTCTTCATCATCAAAGGAGGGGTGGGACAACCTGTGGTAGAAGAGGAATGGTGTGTAGAGGATCGGATTTTCCTGGACCAGGAGGGTGCGGAAATGCAGGATCAGCCTGTCCAGGGGCTTCTCCCTGTGGAAGAGGAGGAGGAAGTGGGCCAGGACGGGGAGGTCCCTGCTATGGAAGAGTTTGCCAGTGATGCGTGCATTCGAGAACTCTAGCAGCGCCCATGGGCGGGGCTTCAGGGCAGTCACCTTGGAATAAATGTGGGTGACAAAGTTGGGGGCACAGAAGACATCATCCCCTATTAACAGGAAGTAATCAGAGAGGTTTGTGGCAAAGCTCATCAGGAAGGCATGGTCTACGTTCTGCTTAGAATAGCCTTCCCCTTCGTGGGCCTCAGGGCTGTGGTTGCCATCCACAGTGGGGTAGGCATCAGGCGGAGCGCGGATCAGCAGCAGCTGCTCTGCCAAGAGCTGTGCGCTGAAGAGGCTAGAAATTTGGGCAATAATGTCTTTGAGCCAGGCGAAGTCAGAATCTGCCAGGTGCACCAGCACAGTGAGACGCTTCAGCTCGGCTTTGGAGGAGGCGTTGTACAGCGTGGCCAGTGTGTACACAAGGCTGTTTGGATCCTTTCCTGACACTGCGGAGATCCCCACCGTCAGCCACGCTAAAGAGAGGTAAAGCAGGGACAATTGTCAGTGTAGGCTGAGGCAAGGGCTGTCAAAAGGATTAGTAGAGGGGATGCTACCGGGGTCTTCTCTTTCTTCCCTCTCTTATTTCCTTCTGTTATTTCCAGTGGCAGAGGGGATATCTACACCCTTCCTCCTCTAAGTGTGGTCCTTAGTTCAGCAACATCGGCCTCATTTGCCAGCTTATTAGACTTGCAGAATCTTTTGTTTGTTTGTTTGTTTCTTTTCTGGTACCGGGAATTGAACTTTCGACCTTGCGCTTGCCAGGCAGGCGCTATGCCGCTGAGCTACATTCCCAGCCCCTAGACTTGCAGAATCTTGAACCCTTCCTTAGAATCTGCATTTTAACAATATCGCCAGGTGACTTATACACACACTAGAGTTTGAGAAGTACTAAGCTAGGTCTCTGAGTCCCTGTGGGTTCCTTTGTCTTTGAATCTAAAACTCACTTAGTTATTGTTATTCTATTATTTTTACTCAGATCATTCTCCCAAAGGCCTTCTTTGAAGTAGTATATTAGAAAAAGGATTTTCCCTAGTGGTCAGGAGACCTTTCCTCTTTTTCTTTTTTTTTTTTGCAGTGCTTGGGGATTGAACTCTGTGTCTTCACACTGAGCTACATTTTTCAGCCCTTGTTTTTTGTTTTTGTTTTTGTTTTTTCATTTTGAGACAAGGTCTCATTAAGTTGCTAGGTTGTCCAGACAGGGTTAGAACTTGTGATCCGCCTGCCTCTGTCTCTGAGAGTGCTGAGATTATAAGTGCTGGCCAATGTACTCAGTTAGCCCCAAGTTCTCGTCCCAGTTCTGCCACTGGCTGTGTGATTTTGAGCAAGTTCCCTCACCCTTGAGTTTAGGTAAATCCATCAAGGCAAGAGAACTGGACTGTGTGACTCTTCCAAATGTCATTTAACCCAGTGTGGTGCTGGTGGTGTGGCAGTGAGCACAGCTGCCTTTCAAATGTGCTCTAATCCAGCAATTTCTCCTTCTTATAACAACTTTTTCCCTCCAGAGATTCCACATTTTTTTTTGTGTTATGCATTTTATTTATTTACTCTTTTAATTGCTCTATCTAAACATGCATGCAGCTGGGCATGGTGGCGCACGCCTGTAATCCCAGCACTCCAGAGGCTGAGGCAGGAGGACTGTTGTGAATTTGAGGCCAGCCTGGGCTACAAAGTAAGCTCAAGGCCAGCCTGAACTGCATAGCGAGACCCTGTCTCAAAACAAAAACAAATACAAAAACAAAAACACAAACAATGCATATAGGCAACCTTAACCTCAACTCCTTTCATTTTAACACTTTGGTTTTTTTGTTTTTTCTTTCCACTTAAATGCTGTACAGCTGCATAGTCATCCATTCCTAGGGTGTTGATCACAATTGCAGGCTCAAATATAAAAGTAACATAAAGAAGACTCCTGTTCCTTGTGGCTCACCTAATATGAGCATGTACAGTCTTGCAGAGGAAAGGAAATACGTGTAATGTTCAGGAATATTTTAGAATATGTGATTAGCATGTTGATTCCACCTTCTTAGAACAATTAACTTCATCATTTTCCTCCTTCCTCGTACCCTAATATGTAAATATTGGCGGGGGGATTATCTGCCAAGTTGAAATAGTCCTAAGTACAGTTCTGTCTTTTCATTTGATTTTTTGTTGTTGTTGATTTTTAATTTGTATTTTAAGCACTTTTGTTTGTTGGATAGTTTGAGACAGAGTCTCACTATGTAGTCCAGGCTGACCTGGAGTTTATGATCCTCAGGATTACAGGTGTCTGCCACCCAGCTCAGCTAATTTCTGCCTTTTCTCTTCCCTTTATTTTCCTTATTCCCCCCGCCCCACACACCTCCATCTTTCTAACTCTTTCTCCCTCTCTTCCAGGACTGGAAATTGAATCCAGGAGAGATAAAGTAGGGTGCTCTACCACTGAGCTCCATCCCCAGCACTTTTTATTTTATTTCAAGAGAAGGTCTCACTAAGTTGCCCAGGCTGGTTTTGAATTTGCCATTCTCCTGGCTCTGCCTTCCAAGTAGCTGGGACCCCAGGTGTTTACCACTGACCCTCGCTATGCCTATTTCCCCTGGAAGACCCTACCCCTCCTTCTCCTTGGCACTCACTCTTCCTTCTTTTCTGGATTTTTTGTGTATATTTCAAGGTGATGGTGTGCCAGTCTTGCGGTGGCTTCGAGTTCTTCTTACTGTCATAACTGGTCTCCTGGGGCATCAACAAAGGCAAAACAGAGAAATCCTCCTGTAGAAAGAACAGTATTTATCCCCCAGCGGCTTCTCATAAACTTCCGAAGGGAAAAGGTAGAGTGGATCACTCATGCTAGAGTGAGTCCAGACCATCCTCAGGATGCTGAGCCGTTGGCATCCAGGGCTGATCCAAGGGATCCAGGGCTCAAGCAGCACACGTTCCCCCTTCGTACTTTCACACACATGAAAAGCAAGTGCAGCTTCTCCATGGGCCCCGATTCCACCCTCTCATGTGGAAATGTACAGGAAGAAGGACAGGCGGGTGCTCTGGGGGAACCCTCCTGTCCTCTCCATTCCCACCCCACACCCCAGAGTCCCAAACTGTGAGCAAGTTGCTACTTGGCCTTTCATAGTCATCACGTCTTGGCCATCTTCAGTCTCCCTGGGGATCTGCAAAGTGATGAAGAGCCACAGGAGCATGACGCCTGCCGAGGTTACGAAGCATTTCCTACTGGAGCACCGCATGGTGTCTGCCCTGACACGGTTTCTGCCACAGGAAGTCAACACACACAGTGGAGGATTCTACCATCCTGTCCATGCCCAGAACTTTCCTCTCCCCTTTGAAAGCACGCCCCCATCTTCTCCCCTGACATTTATCCTTCCTCATGACTGTCGCTCACTTATGCCCAAACCCTCCCTGAAGGAATGTAGCCTTATTCCCTGCCTAAAGCAGAAAAATTGCCTGTTCCATGATGACATTCGCTGCCTTTGTTTATAGGTTTCTTTTTTTTTTTTTTTTTTCCAGTACCGGGAATAGAACTCACGACCTCGCACTTGCCAGGCAGGCGCTGTGCTACTGAGCTAAATCCCCAGCGGAGATTCAGCCTGTGCAGTTTCTCCACTCAGAATGAGTGGGTTGGCTGGGGCTTCAGTGACGTGGCCAGTTCCTCTGAGAAACAGATGGTCATGGGGCCCCACCCCACTATTTTCAACAAAAGTTAAACTATTCGTTAAATTAGCTGAAATCGGAGGCTACTAAGATCTGTGCTAAATTGGTACCGTCCTTGCTTTTTTAGATAAAAGGCAGCCTCGGCTTTGCCACCTTTAGTCTTATTCACAGGCCTTGGTTAGAACAGGATCCTGTTAACTTAGAGTAAAACCATCCTTTCCTGGGTGCGGGGCTATGGAATCCAGACTGGCTCAGCCTCCGAAGTGTTTGCACGCTGCCCTCTTCCTCTGCTAGGGTCCTTCTCAGTGAGAACAGACTTCGTGATTGTGCCTAGAGTATCAGAGGAAAGGCTTGATATGTTTTATCCCTGCTCTCACTTCTTTCCTCGTGTGGTCAGCACACAGAAGAAAAGCAAGTATAGTCTGAGTTCTGTGCTAATGTGGCCATAATATCTCCAGTCTCTCCTGTTAGGGAAGTGTCTAGGTTAGGTTTTGGGTAGCGGTCAACATGCTTTCTCTCCTGCAGCCATGTAGTTTTTGATAAGAGTTATTAAAAAATACTTATAGCTGGGTTTGGGGGTACACACCTGTAACCCCAGCATTCTAGGAGACTGAGGCTAGAGGACAGCAAGTTTGAGCTCAGCCCGGGCAACTTAACAACTTACCCAGACCTTGTCCCCAAAATACTCAGTGAATCAGTCAATGAGATGAGCTGGAGATGTAGGTCAGTGCAAAGGCCCTGGGTTCAATGCCTAGTAAGTAAAGAAATAAAAAATAAATGTAATAAAGGTTTACAGTTAAGACCTTTCTTACCTGGTTTCTTTCAGCAAAGACTTTTTGTCATGTAGGTGATTCAGATACAAATATCTATGCCACAGGAAAGAAAGAAAGAGACTTCTCATACACTGAATAAGGTGGCTTTACAATTGTGGTTAAAGCACTTCACCATCACAGACAGAGCTCTTCTGTCCCTCCTGTGTCTAGCCGTGTGGAAGGGCTGCTCTCATTCAGCCCTCTGGGCTTCTGGAAGAGGCCCTGAGAAAGAATAAGAGGAACTGGGGCTGGCGATGCACTCAGGCACTCAGGAGCAGTGCACAGAGGAGAGCCCAGGACAGTTGGCTGGGATCTCTACAGTGTCCACACCTGAGCTCAGCTCCCTCTGTGATGCTCCTCTTATGTCCTCGCCACCCACCCACAGCATCAGAGCCACCAGCTCAGCATCACAGCTTCATCATCAGTAGCTCTTCCTACCCATTGCCCTACAGACCTGCAGCAGCACCGTATCTCTCAAATGAGGAAAGAGAACTGCCAACCCGCCCAGCTCATCCTCCACTTCCTTGCAGCTCTGCCTTATTCTCTCCTACCCTCCCCTTGGTCCCATAACGCTTGTGCCAGGAGTCCCACAGCTCCCCATCTTTTCAAGGTCCCGCCGCATCCTTCCTCTTCCTCTTGCATCTGATCCCTTCGCTCCTTCCCCTGGACCATCCCCATCACTATTAAGAAGATCTGTTCTCTTCTAGTGGAAAACAACACAAAAAGCAAAGGCTTGCTGGAATTTGCATTTCACGTTCGGCCTCACTTCTCCGCTGTGCTGCCTAGCACAAGCCCTCAACAGTGTTGTGTCTGTAGGTTTCCCGCTTCATCTCCCCTCCCTCTGCTCGCCTCGCTCAGCTCCTCTGACACAGCTCATCCTGCCTCCCCAGAAACACTTTCTTCACAGACACCATTCCTGCCACACTGACCATTCCTTCCCAGTTTCCTTTCCTGGCTCCTCCTCTTCCCAGCCTGTCAATGTAGACCTGAGCTAGAGTTCTGCCCTTGGCTTTTTTCTCTTCCTACACACACACTCCGTGTATATGTGTGTGTGTGTGTGTGTGTGTGTGTGTGTGTGTGTGTGTCTGTATCAGATACTCCCAGACCTTACCTCCAGCCCTAACTCCTGTCTTCCTTGAGCTCCAAATTACCGGACTGCTCAGCATCTCCATTTGTTTTGCTTTACTTTGTTTTCTTTTCTTTTTGTGACCATTCAGTTCAGGCTGTCCTTAACTCACTGGGTAGCCCAGGCTGGCTTTGAACTTGCAGTGATCCAACTGCCTCAGCCTCCAAGTGCTGGGATTATAGGCGTGTGCCACCACACCAGGCCCAGCATCTCCATTTGGATGAGCAGAGGCATCTCAACTTGAACAGAGCCAAAATAGAACTACAGACTTTTCCTAGCTCCCAGGTACTATATTTCCTTCCCAAGTTTCCTCCATCTCAGTAAACGGCACCACCATTTACCCAGGTACTTGGGGCAAAGCCTACAAGTTGTCTTTGATGTCCTGTCCTTAGCACCCCACATCCAGCCTATTTAGTCCTGTTACTGTTTTCCCCAAAATGTACCCAGTACGTGATCCCTTTAACACATCTCCTGCCTGGACTGCTGCACCACCTTCTAGGGGGTCTCTCACCTCATCCTTGTTCTATAGTCCATCTGTGCATTGCAGTCAGAGGGACCTTTTGAAACTGTGACTAAAATGATTTCCCTCTCCTATCTTTCATGTTATGAAAGAGCTTCCCACTGTGAGTAAGATGGACTCCAGACTCCTGCGTACACACACACACACACACACACACACACACACATACCAGCGCTCTGCCTGCCTCTGACTTGCTCTCCCTCCCTTCTTTCTCCCTTCTTTCTCTGGCCCAGGATACTCTGCTTTCCTCGTTGGATGGGGTGTTGAAGAACTTCTGCTTTCAGCCCTGGAGTCTGGCACTGCCTTCTTCTTGTTCATGTTTGAAAGCTGCATCTCCGCTTATTCCCAAGCTCTTACCCAGAGTTTACTTTCCAGTGTTTACACAGAAGCACAACATCTCCCATCCAAGGACTAACCAGGCCTGACCCTGCTTAGTTTCCACGATCAGATGAGATCAGATGTGTTCAAGGTGGTATGACCGTAGACAGAAGCACAACATCTAAGATCAGTTCTGGATATGCCATCTGATTCCTGGTATGTCCTCAGCCTATCAGGGCCTTTGCACTTGCTGTCCTCCTAGAATGTTCCCCTATAGGCTGGACATGGTGCTACATGCTTATAATCCCAGTGCTCTGGGAGGCTGAGGCAGGAGGATCACGGGTTTGAGCATAGCCTGAGCAACTTAGCAACTGTCTCAAAAACATGATAAAAATAAAAAGGGAAAGGGATATAGGCCCTGGATTCAATTCTTAGTATAGAAAGAAAGAAAGAAAGAAAGAAAGAAAGAAAGAAAGAAAGAAAGAAAGAAAAAAAAAAAAGAGAAAAGAACTCTCATTTACTGATTTTCCAATGTCTGCTTCCCTTCAAACATTCCAATCTGAGCTCAGATGTTCTCTTTGCTGCCTCAGATCACTGCGGCTAATTAGCTCTTCATCTCTCTTGTGTCTTTCATTTCTCATGTATTCTACTGTCTTCAGCATCTAGTACTGCCAGAAACTATTTTCCTTATTTATATGTTTATTGTCTGTCCCTTATCCACTGGACTAGAATATAAGCCCCAGAAGGGCAAGGACTTTGTTACAGCTAATCCTATATCTACAACACTTTGCATAGCTTCTGATCCAGACACCCGTGCTCAGCAAGCATTCATGACCTCACTGGTTATTAGGGACTCTGATACAGTAGTAGGAAGAGGTCGGCTGTTGCCCTCAAGCACTACGCTGGGTGCTGGGGGCACAGCGGGCAGGAGGCTTGAGCCACACTCAAGTAGTATACGTCTAACAATTAAGGGCACAGCTTCCAGACTCAGACCGCCTGGGCCAGAATCTGGTTCTGCTTGAACTTATTGTCTATGTAACCTTGGCTAAATAATTCAGCCTCTCTGAATCCCAGTTCCTCATCCATCAAATAAAGACGGCACTGATGGCTGCTCCCAAGGGTGCTTATGAAGATTAAGAGATCTACACATAAATGCCCAGCACGTGACAAGTGCTCAATGTTACCACATTTGTAGAGGGAACAGCCACCACTCTCAACATGGTGACCGGCACCGTGTTCTGTCCCCTTTCCCTCTATTCTTGTTGAGCAGCATCCACACTGTACTTCGAGGTTCTTACACAGAAGCACCATGCTCTGAGAACACTTCTGTGTACTGCCATCTCTTCCCAACCTCTTTGAGGGTTTTGAAGGAGGCAAAAATGGGAGGAGGATGGGAAATAAATATTACAAAGCCCTGACCCAGCCCCAGGCTCCTCACCAACAATGATTGGGGCTTGGTCCCTGTGGCCACTGTACGTTCTTTTTTTTTTTTTTGTACCAGGAATAAAACTCAGGACCTTGCGCTTGCCAGGCAGGTGCTTGTGCAGCTGAGCTATATCCCCGGCCCTGTTCTGACTTAATGGAGGTTGGAGTTGTCCTCCAATGTGGAGACTGTGAGCCGGACCCAAAGGGGAGGGATGGGGCAGCAGGACAACCACTTCCTTTCCAGCCTTTCTTCCTGGGCACCCCAGCTGATGCTCCCTTGGCAGCCTTTGTTCCTTCTAAAGATGGAGAGCTCGTCAGCTATGGGGGGCCCCCTGGTATGGAGAGAGAAGGGGCTCCACCCAGAATGTAGTCTGACTACAGCATATGCAGCCCATATACTGTATTTGAAAATTTTGATTGAAAATTGAACATTTAAAAGTTGGACAGGGTGTGGGGGTGTAGGCCTATAATCTCAGGCCTTTGGAGGCCAAGTCAGGAGGATTGTGAGTTCAAAGCCAGTCTGGGCTACATAGTAAGACTCTGTTTCAAAAAAACAAAAATAAGTAACTAATAAAAATAAATAACAGATAATTGGCTTTGCTCGATAAATAGAACTCCACACAACCCTGGTCTGAGTGATGACGGCTCCCAGCAGCCCGATCTGCCTGCTCACTTCTCCCTGCCTCTGTCCGGCAGCCTCACTCATTTACTTGTCTTGAGGTTTTCACCCGCAGCTCTAAGTCAAGTTTTGGGAGACATGAAGATTCCCTGCTAGATGCTGGCCCTATGCTTGGCATCTGTTTGGCATAAGGAGCTACAAATATGGGCACAAAGTGATCCCTGGTTTGATGAGCTGCAGCCAGAGGTAGGTGGGAAACAAGTAGAAGAGTGTAGACATGGGAATAGTGAACATGAAACACAGACCAAAGAGCAAATATAATTGTTGATTTTGCATATCGTGTAGACAATGCACTGTGGGTCTTAGTGGGAGTATGGGAAAGTGGATAGTCGCTGAATTTCAAGATTAGGCAGTTATGGGCTGAGCATGGTGGTGCATGCTTATAATCCGAGAACTTTGGGAGACCAAGGCAGGAAGATTGCAAGTTCAAGGCCAGCCTGGAACAGGAGACCCTGTCTCAAAAAGAAAGACTAGATTGGTGTGAGTTGGAGGACTCATTCTTTGACTGTAATTCATCAGCGTTCTCCAGTGAAATAGAACCACTGAAAGGATGGGTGGATGTGTACCCTTTTCATACATATCCTATATATACGTATCCAATATATCTATGGGGGATAGATACTGATTTAAGGAATTTGTTTAAAGAACAGAAACTTATTTTCTATTAACTTTGGAGGCTAACAGACCAAGATCAAGGTGTCCCCAGAACTTTTCCCCGCTAGGGCCCTGTGCTGGGCTTGTGGAAGGCCATCTTCTTCCAGTTATCTTCAGCCAGTTTCCCGATGGTGCATCTATGAACATCTTAAAAGCTGCCCAAAGTAGGAAAAAAAATCCTCACCTTGAGCAATATTTTTTCAAACTGAGGGTCACAGCCGCTAACTGACTTACTAGAGCTCAACCTGCATATAGGTCTTGCCGTTATTATGTAAACGAAAGTTCCAGAGATGACAGGTGAAGTTTGAGGCCACTGTAGCCTAGAGGGGAGAGGGGGTCAATGTTGGCAGGTTAAAGGGGGCAGCTGCCTGTGGATGTAAGGTGTGAGCTTCATATCCTCTGCTCAGCCTCATAAAGGTCAGCCCATTTTTGGGGAAGATGAAAGGCAGGCAGTGGGATGGCCATTCTGGTCCTAGCTCTGATAGTGTTATCTGTGTGGCTTTGGCTGATGAATCTTTCTGAGTCTCAGCTTCTTCATCTCAAAAATGGCGACAATCATATCACATACTTCACTGGATCGATGTGTCCAGGAGACTGTTATGGTTTGGATCAAAAATGCCCCCTCTTCTCCACCAAGGCTCCTGTGCTCAGAGGTAGCCTTTTGGAAGGTGAGGAGGCTGTTGGGCACCATTGCCGAATGTGCTGTTAGGTGGGGCATGGTTGGAGGAAGTAGGTCCCTGGAGCCATAACCTGTCCCCACTCCCTTTTCAGGCTCTTCCCCTTGCTCTCTGCTTCCTGGCTGTCATGAGGTGAGCAGCTTTCTTCTGCTAGGCCCTTCTACCATGTTCTTTCTGCCTTGGGGCCAGCCAACCATGGACTGAACTCTCTGAATCCAAGAGCCACACTAAATGATTTCTCCATGAAGCTGTGTCTGGGGGGTATTTTTTCCCAGCAACTGAAAAGCTGTGTCTGGTGGGTATTTTCTCCCAGCTAACCAATACGTGAATTACTGTTGGCCAGTGACTTGGTCTTACTCATGTTAGAACAGTATATCCAGCTGTTCACATATCACCCCTTCCTGCCAGGGAAGAGAAAAAGAATGAATGTGTAACATTTAGCATATGTGATGCTGGGCTGGGCACTGGCATGAACTGGTTGAAAGTGGAATCTCAAGTAGGCATGGTGGATATGGTGGCGCTCTGTAAAGTTCCCATGCAGTACTGAGGCCAGTTTCCAGCCTGTTGAATTAAGACTTCCATCCCACATACAGAATTTCAAACATTCCAGCTCTCCATGGCCACAGAGCATGCTGAGAAGGGCTCCCATCTCAGAGACTCTAGTTAGGGATGCGGCAGCTGCAGGGGAACCCAGCACAGTAGTTTCCCTCTTAGCATCTTTGGAGTCCCAGGCTTCCAAAGTGGCCCAACCAGAACGGGAAGAAACACACCCTAACGCCCTGGTGTGGGTTCCTCTGCCACCCCAACCCCATGGGCGGGCCAACTGCACCGTGGGAACATCCTATTTGCTGGGGCCTGGCTTGCATAAGCCTCGTCTTTTGGAACCCACACTTAGAAGCTTAGGACCGAGATGCCATCACCCAGGATCTCAGCTTCGCTAAGTCAGCAGAAGAAAGATTTCCCGGACTTGAGAAAGGGCAGTGGCAGGGGGTGTGGCTCTAGTAGAAGCTTGAAGAGTGGGGTGTCCCCAAGAGGAAGGAGGTACGTGGGGAGAGGAACAGCAGGACCGTAAAGGAAGAAGCTATGGGAAGAGGAAGAGGTATTTATTACCAGGCGCCTCCCCAAGACACAGACTCAGCTTCCCAAGGTCCGAAGCCCAGAGGAGACGGGGCTCGCGGTGATGCCGGGTGGGATGGAGTAGAGCAGGGAGCGCTGGAGTCCTGCGGAAAAGCCCAGGCCACAGAAAGATGAGGGTAGAGGAGGAGAGGGCAAGGGAAGGAGCGGATCGGGTCATCTCAGCTGTGTTTGCCCACCGTGTGGGTTTCCCCAGCTCTCCCTTTGATCTGTTGTGAAGTCTTTCCGGCCTCCCGTGGGCGATTCTTCTCCGTGTTCACCAAACTCCATTCTCGCCAATTGGAGCCACAGCAACTCAAGGCCATTTCCGCTCCCTTTTAACAGAATTTCGCGGAGGGTCCACCACGCGCCGGATGATAGTGTGGAGACCCTCTCCTCCGGCGGCTTCCCATCTGGGGAGGCAGCCGCTGAAAAGACACAGCAGAGTGCTAAGTGTTGTGCTCAAGGGCAGTATCAAGACGTAGTGGGGACAGCACGAATAAAACAAGGAGCCAAATCCCACGTGTCTGTGGGTTTCCCCAGGGGACATATGACCCCAAACATTCCTGGGCACAGGAGGGGGGAAGTGATGTTGACCTTGAATTGGAGATGAGAAGCTGAGAGGGTCTGGACCGTGCTTTGGGGAGAAGGGGGCTGTTGGAGGAGGGTCGGCAGGGGGAGGAAGGTTGTTGTTTGGACACACCGCGGCAGGGAGGGAGGGAGGCGCACCGGAGAACCCTAAGCCTTGAGACTCGGGGGCGGAGCCGGGGCGGGGCGGGGCCAGAGCGGGGCACCGCCCCACACGTGCGCTACGTGCGCGGCTACCCGCCCCGGCCGCTGGGGAGCGGGGCTGCCCTCCACATCCTGTGGCCCAGTCCCTGGAGCGCGCCGAAGGGGAAGGTTGCTCCCCTAAGTAGGGCTCCAGGAACGCGATTGTTCCATCGCAGCAACCGGAAGAAGCGTGGGGGGCGTCTCCTTAGCAGACTGGCGTACCCAGGGGCGAAGCTGCAGTCTGGGACGCAGGCCGGGGACGGGTTCAGTGGGCTGGGGGCTGAGGTCGCTGACTGAATGGACCGGTGAGGATGGCGATCCCTAGAAATGCGTCCAGAGGGCCCGGAGCTACACACATGGGGGTGGCTTGGGGAGCCGAGGCCCGGGCGGGGGCGGAGTGTGGTCCCGAAGGAGGGAGCTCCTGGGGACGTGGCACTCGTCGTGGGGCTCGGTTCAGCCTGGGCCGCGGCCTCACGTCCCGTCAGGTACGGGACCGGCCCTGTCCCGGCCTCGCGCCCAGCCCTCGGGTAGCCAGGCTGGGGAACACCGGCCGAAGTGGCCCAGGTCGGCCTCTGGGGCGTCCGTCAGCCCGGGACCAGACAATGCGGCACGGGCCCCGCCCCCGGAGGCCGACGCGTCCCGAGCGCGGCCAATCACCGCCCGCGGCGAGGCTCTTTAAAAAAAGAAGGGCCGGCGCGGTGTGGCTGTCAGCTGGGATGGATCCCTCCGCCCATGTAAACACACTTCATAAAGGGCAAGAGGAAGCGTCTCCGCGGGCGGGCGGTCGCCTTCCTGGCGAGTCCTCTCGGTGCCTGGGTCCCCTCGCTGGCAGCCGCCTCCTCCCTTAACGTCACACTGGTCCGTGCGGAACCAAACAGCTGCTACCTGAGCTGGAAGCAATAGCAGCTCATCACTGAGAGTGGCTACCGGAAACGGAGGAAGCAGGATTGGGGACCCCGTGAATTGGACAGAGAGAGTCCCAGCACACAGCTGGGAATTGAGATTTTATTAGGCTTATTCCTCCTGTGCCCTTCAGTTAAATAGTAGCCACAGTTCATACACATCTAGAATTCTTCTCAAAGTGAAAGTTAAACCTACCTGGCCTGCCGGATGCCAACATTAAGGATGAAAACACTGCTTTCCCAAGAGAGGGTAAATGACGGAAATCAACTCCAGCAATACCCTCACTGCACCGGACGCCCAAAGCAAAGGGCAGCACTATTTTCTCTCTCCACAACACTGTCTTACGAAAATATTAAAATATTCAAAGTTAAAATAATTTTGCTCCAAGTTCTAACCTACCGACTACCTAGGTTAGTGGTGTTGAACCTATGGCACACGTGCCACATCGTGCACTCAGAGCCCTCTTTCTCCACAGGTGAGCAAAATCACCCCAGCCAAAGTTTGGCTGCATACAACGACGATCACATTAATTGGGCAAAAGCACGCCAAATGGAAACTACCTTTCAATAAAAAGGTTTTTTTTTTTTTTTTTGAGACAGTCTCACTCTGTCATTGAGGCTGGCCTTTGAACTCAACTATGTAGTCCAATTTGGTCTTAAACTCACAAGAATCCTCCTGCCTCAGCCACCCGAGTGCTGGGATTACAGGCATGCACCACCACACCCGGCATAAAAACTGTATTATTAAAAGCTCTGTTATTGTGTTTTTCTTTCCAAACAGAAGATACTAAACTGGGTGTGGTGGTGCACACCTGTAATCCCAGCACTTGGGAGGCTGAGGCAGAAGGATCATTGTGAGTTCAAGGCTAGCCTGGACTAAAAAATGAGTTCAAGATCAGCCTGAACTGCATAGTAAGACTGTCTCAAAAAGACCAAAAAATTTAAAAAAAAAAAAAAAGATATTTATGTATGAGCTATTTTGCTCTAACCTAAAACTTCAGGTTTAATTACAGTGTTGGCACTTTGCAATAAATAAGTGGGTTTTGGCTTGCAGTTTGCCCACTGGCCTCTAAAAATTCGCCATCGCTGACCTAGATTCTACCACTATAACTTGTTAATCTCCTGCCGTCACTGATTTTTTTCTCTGATAGGATGCCAGCTGCCAACTTTCCTTGAGCCTCTGTTGCAGTGGGGAGCAGGAAAAGGCTTATCCAAATCCAAAAGCCCTAAAGAGCTAAGAAAAACCTTCTCCAAGGATCACTGTGAACTTTTTTGGACCCCAAGTACCTCTGGGCATTTTATCTAAGAGGAGGCCTTCATTCTCTCCTCTCAGGTATAGAGACTTCCTCTAAGTGAATCTGAAAACAGGGCTAAAGCTCTGTTGATCCCTCCTATGGAGGTGCTGGCAAGCAGTCCTTCAATGGGTTTGGCCACTTTCTGGAGAAAAGAGGTCATTTCTGTGTTGAAGGTCTACTTTTTGAACTCTTTTTGGAGCTAGATACTCATATGTACTTCTCTCTCCTAAAATAAGTGCCTCCAATACGTTCATATCTCTCAAAGTTACTTAACCTCTCTTAGCCTCCATTGCCTACTCTGTCTGAACACTGGGGATGACAGCACCTACCCAGCAGGACTGTGGGAAGACCAGTGAGCTGAAAATCACAAAGCATATAGAACAATGCCTTACACAGAGCTGCCTTACATACATAATGGAAGCATCCACTCGCTAAGCTCTCCCAGATATGTATCTCCACTTCTGATCTTTCCCTTTCAGATTTCTATTCTTCCGCATATTAGGAATCTCCAGCTCTATGTACCAAGCTCAACATGTCCAGAAGTAAACACATTACCCTCCTTCCTAGAATGACTTCCTGTCCGTAGTGTCATCATGGTGAATGTCCAGACAGTGCCAATGGGCCCATCCCTCAGGTAGGCACATGAATCATCTTTTGCACCTCAGCGTTCCTTCCCAGTCTATCTGTCCTAATTTTATTTCCCACGTTTGCATCTGTTCCTTTGAATCAGTAGCACCACTGCCTTAATTCAGGTCCCATTACGGTATATAGTAGGACACGGTAGTCCTATGGATTTGGACAAACTACATAAACCATTAATTATGCAAAACACTTAGAGCAGTGTCTAGGACATGCAACTGGTTGAAATGATTATCATCATTGCTATTGCTTTCTCACTTACTTGCTGCTCTTACATTCAAGCTGTTCCCCTGGCCTAGAAAATCCTTCTCCATTTCCCATGTTTCTGTCCCCCTTGGGTCTGGCGAAGTGTTTACTTCTATTCTGGCACAAAGTGCTGACGTGACTGAGTGATCGCCTTATGTGTCTGATCCTCTCCACCGGACTATTAACTTCTTGAGGGCAGGGACTCTGATAGATAGTAAATGGTCAATAAATGTTGGCTCAACTGAACCGTCAGGATAAACTCCATCCCCAGGCGGAAGGCCCGGCCCCTCCCGATTCAAGGGCGGGGCAGGGAGCTCAGCTCACGGGGTGGGTGGGGGTGGGGGTGGGACTCTTTTTCCTCGCCGTGGCGGCGGAGGCGCACGGCGTGGGTTAGCGGCAAGACGTCGTCGCAGGAAAAAGCCCAAGGTGCTGCCGTTGCTGGTCCAAGTCGGACTCGGTGTCGCCAGCGCTCGGCCCGTACAGCCCGTCCTCGGTCCCACCAGCCCCGCGGGATGGATCCGGCCACCGCGCCGCCCCCGGGCCCGCGCCCGGCGATGCCCCTCGGGGGCCCGGGCCCGCTGGGCGAGTTCCTGCCGCCTCCCGAGTGTCCGGTCTTCGAGCCCAGCTGGGAAGAGTTCGCGGACCCCTTCGCTTTCATCCACAAGATCCGGCCCATCGCCGAGCAGACCGGGATCTGTAAGGTGCGCCCGCCGCCGGTGAGTCACCCAGCATCCCGGGTCCCGCTCCGGGCCGGGGAGCGAGGACGCCGGGTCTCGGCCGGGGGCGCCCG